TTGTCCCGTCTGTTCTCTGCATCAGAGCTGGAGGACCCCATTGTAGGAGAGGACACGAGGCTCTCCAACTCCATGGGTCTGTTCCTGCAGAAGACCAACATCATCCGTGATTACCTGGAGGATCAGCTGGAAGGCCGAGAGTTCTGGCCGAAAGAGGCAAGTACAGCCAACTCCTCTTCCACCTGAAATATCTGTTCGGGGGGGTGAAAGTACTAGATGATGCTGGATGTCCTTCAGCCAGGAAATGAGGTGGGTTCTACCTGAGTTGCTGCAGCTTCTAATGCGCATTGTGAGGAGCTTGCAGTGTGCAGTGACATCAGAGGAAGCCGTTTTGGTCCAGGAGAGGAGCCGGTACCACTGTGCAGAACTGCAGGGAAGGACATAGGTCAGGTTTATTAGTAAGCACCTGAATGACAATACCCGTCATGAGAACAGGTGTGGGACTTGTTCTGCCCGAGGCCAGTGAAGGAGAAGAGGAGTTTGTCTGTAGCTCACAATTCAATCTTCTTCGAGTTGATTTTAATACTGAGCCAAAGGCCCTCAAGAAATGCAATGACAGTCTTGCGTTCTGTAAGGTTTGCTCATTGGGATGTGGCCGAGCCGAGCTCCCTGGGCAGTCCTGGAGGCCTCCACTTTGGTTCCTGGAATCGGAGCTGGATCCGGGAGAGGAACGTCACTGATTACTCCAGAGAAGTTCTCTGTGCCAGAACCAGCACTGCTTCCAGAATCCGTACAGCCAAAGCCTCCAGCTCTGACTGGGAGCCCCCGAGTGTGACGCATAGCAGCTGTGCTGACAGGTTCTCTTTAATGAGAGGAGTGCTGGGTGCTTTATTCTAATAACTTCCAACTCAGCCTCGTGTTTAGTATAGACTTCGCTTCACGTGGCTCTCCGGGGAGTAACGGCCGTAGGTCGGCATGTGTCTAGGATAGGCTGAGGTGAAAGGAGAGTCCCAGACACATGGGGGGGGGGAATTTATCAAAATTGGAGCAGCTGTGAATGGCAACCAATCAGCTTCTCTCTCATTTTCAAATCTGAAGAGAGAAGCTGATTGGTTGCCATTCACAGCTGCTCCAATTTTGAT